GGGAACTACAGTCCCTGTTCATGGGTCACTGCTCAACTAGGGGAGCTACAGGGGCGCCTGATTGTCATGTTTTTAATTGGTGGTCAAAGTAAAGCTTGTGAAAGTGGTGTTACAAAGAGATTTTTTTCTTAATATTTGTGTAATTGTTTGATTGATTTGGGCCCCGATTGGAAGGGTTACATTTTAGAATGAGCTTGGTTTGAAAGACTAATATCGATGTAGATAAAAGGTTATTTCTACCTGCAAACCCTGCTTAGAAGCTCTGTTAGATAAACCTTAAATGAAAATCAGCATCAATGTACAATGCTCAAGAAATTAAGGGAACAGCTAAACAACACAATTTAACTCCAAGTCAATCACACTTCTGTGAAATCCACCTGTCCAGTCAGGAAGCAACACTGATTGTGAACCAATTTCACCTGCTGTTGTGCAAATAGAACAGACAACAGGTGGAGATGAGAGGCAACTAGTAGGACAACCCCTATAAAGGAGTGGTTCTGCAGGTGGTTTTTGCATTCTGTCAGTGCTCTCAGCCCTAGAGGTAGCACGAGGCGTGTCTACAACCCACACAAGCTGCTCAGGTAGTGCAGCTCATCCAGGATGCCACATCAATGCGAGCTGTGGCAAGAAGGTTAGGGCTCACTCAATGCACAAAAAAATCAATAGCCATAAATTAATCCTAACTGGGCTTGGACTGCTATAGCCAGCGGCTGTTTGCACCCTTGGTTGTCAGTTAGCCAGATGCAGTTGAGATTGTCCCCTAAAAGCAACCAGAAAGGAAAAAAACGGTCTGTTACCACTGAGTTGAACAAGGTGTGGAGGAAAACCATTCAGCTGCTTCGTCTGCCCTGGTGATTTTGAACGCCTTTGAATACAGCTGGCTGTTGAGCCAGCATTCCCCACTGCATATGTAAAATTAACTTGGAAGCTGTGAACAGAATCGTGCTGCATTCAGGGTTTGTGTCTGTGGGTTTATTTAGAAATGCAGGTGTCTGGATTAGCACTACAGCATCCTGTTACGTCATTGAATGCATTCATGAGAACAAAATCATGGACATCTGTCATCTAACAAGCTATTTGTCGCATGCATTTAAGACTGATGAATGATGAAAAGTTAATGAAACTGAACAGCATAAAAGTTGAAACGTTCTGTATAACGGAACTGTATTGAGACACTTCCCATCAAAAAACATGTCAAAATATCGTTGTACATTCTCTGCTATTATTCGCCAAACAGATTCTCGCCTGTTATTTGAGATGCAAGCATTTGACTTGTTGTTTGACCTGCATTCCTGAGAGGTTCAGGTCAGCTCGTTCTGTTGCGCCTAAACTGAAGCAAAGCAATACTACATTAAATACTTACATAATTAACTTTTTCATTATCTGCTTCATTTTTTTTCTACCATCTAAACTTTAAATCCCTCTGAAGCAGAGACTTGCAAGACGTTGCATACAGATTTTATCAGCCTGAGTCTGATTTGCTTTTTTTTAATCCAGTCAAAACAACTTTGGCTTTTAGGAAAAGACATGAGGGCCGTTCTTGTTAAGATAATTCTATTTCTCGGCGTGATGTCTTCACTGTGACTTTTGCAGCTTTCATTGCACAGTATTTAATTTCGGCACAAGCAAGCTCACAGACTAATCATCTGGAAAGCAACTGGATTTGACAGAGAAGCATTTCTGTGCATGCCAAAGTATTGTGTTGCACCGTGTATACCCAGGTAACGTACAAACATGCCTGGGGGTGGCACAGTGCTGTGTCCTGGATGCAGGGGAATGTGGAATGCCTGTTGTGACTTCTGCCTTGCTGACAGAATGGTCGCTGACAACATGGGCACCAGAGCAGACAGGAAAGTGGGTCATGTTGACATTTTTTGGTACATTTAATTGGTTAATCTTAGTGGCTTCACAAAGAAGGTATTCAACTTGTGTTTTCCCCCTTAAGCTTCCTAATGCTTGATAAAAGCGCTACAGTTGTAGATCACCATGTTCGTGCTAAACCTCTTGCGACTGAAGTGTCTGCCACTTACTGTCTGCAGCACTTCAGCTTTTGGATTCTTTGGAAGCTTCAAGACAATGGTGCTGTTGCTGTCCAATGAATGAGCACTCACAACACTTTGAACTCAGCAGACTGACTTGAATGAGTCTGCAGGAGTTTGAATGACAGCTTACGAGGGCCCAACCAAGTTTGACTTGTTGACAACAAGCAGCAGCAAAGCCGGAGCTTTTCGTGGTGTTGCTGAAGTGTTTTTACACGCTTTTGCCTTGTAGAATATTTGTCTTTTCACAAAATCAAATTGTACAAAATGAATCTACGAAAGCGACCGTGACACTTAACAGCATTTACTGTTTGATTTAGATGTTGCAGTAACTCTAAACACGTGCCCTTAAAGAGTTGGACTATAAAAAAAACTAGGAAGCTTGATACATACAAATAATACTCTACTTACAGCAGCTGGGGACAACGTGGGAGTAAAACATTTAGATGGGCAAAGCTATTAATTTTTGTCATTCTGTAGAATCGTGGACGTTACGACAGTCACATGAGAATAGTTGGAGGAACTGAAAGTCTTGACCTTCGGCTGCAATGACAGGAAAGACGCATCTTTTTTTTAAACTGTGTTTGTGGTTCACTGTTACCCCGATCAAACAAAGCGATACTCAGCACAAGCTGTTCAGGTCGGGCTGCTTTGAAAAGAAACGGCATCACTATAAAGAACTCGTTGCTACTGCTGAATTCTAAATATGGTGTCATATCTGAACAACACAGCAGCCAGTTTGTCATGTCAGAACTAAAATGCTTGATTGTCTTTTGTGACAAGGATGCATATGTTTCAAAGGTTTGATCGTAGAAAGAAAGTTGTAGGAGTCACGGGAAACTCAAGCATGTGTACGCATAGAAGGTACAAGTGTGTGTAAACTTGACTGTATTCTACAGTCCGTAACACAGCGTTTGTAATGTTTGAATGTAGTTTGCTGTTGTCTGTGCTGCACGTTCGTGTTGCTAATCCTAAACCTTGAGCAACCTGAAGCCTGTTTGTTTAAAGCTAACAGCCACCTCTGTGCTTGTGAAGCCGTTGGTGGTACAACATGATGCTTCACGCATGATGTTAGCTGTGGATCTGTAGCGCTTTTGAACTGCTTCGGTTTCACTGATGTGAGGCAAGAATGCTGCCTGCGCTCATCCTCATGTTCACACTATCTGCTAGAGGTAAGGATTAATACATCATACAGAGATTACCAGAAAGTTTTTTTTAACTTTAAAGTCTGACAACACAATGCCGAAGGACATTAGGAGCTTTAGTTATTGGGCATCAAAGACTTAAGAGGCAGATTTAAAGAGAACAGGTTTGTTTTTCCTGTTGATCTGGCACATGGATGTGTCGCCCCTTCAAGAACAAAGCAGGAAGGCACCTGAAAGCTCCTCCATCCCCATCCTGATGCAGACGGTCGCCCTACTCGAGCCTGCTTCTATCTGAGGTTTATTTCTTTTGTCCTTCCAGGAGAGGTTTGTGTTTCCTTCCACTGCTGCATTAGTGTGCAGATGAAATAGTCCGGAGACCTGTCCTAGCAGCGAGCATTCTGCTTGTGTCGTTGACTGAATATGAATCAGAAGCTGCTGCTTTGAAATGTGTAGAAGTGGTCGGTCATCAAACTTTATTTTTTCTTTTGGCTACATGTCTTGAGAAATACTGTTGTGTTATTGTTCTTTCCTGCACCGGTTTGAGTGATACATCTGACAGTTAATGCTCTCACTTTTGGAATAAACTGTTTTAACGACAACAAGCGCTGGAACACCTCAAACAAGTAAAACATTTCAGGTCTGAAGGTCTTAATGTTCAGCACATCCACCAACGTTACAAAGTCTGTACAGTCATTGAGAGGATTCTCTCTCGAGTAGGGCCGAGGCTCACAGTAAACCGTAGCTTTATGCTTGTCTTAATTGTGTTTACTGCCATAAGCTTGTCTCAGTAAAACTACTTTGCCAGTCGTGGGTGTTTTCCTGCTTATTGTGCATCACTCTGCCAGATGACGGACAGGACTAATAATGTGTCACACACTCTCTTCTTCTGAGTTTCTGTTAAATTTCCCCAAACTCTTACAGAGAAACTGCTGAACTTTGTAGAAAGGTGCTTTTCTCTGTCATGTTAAAATGGTGGCTTTATTAGTGAAATGAGCTCACCAGGTACTTTCCACCATCCCTCTTAGTCTTTATCTCCTCTTTTTTGCCCTCCCTTTTTACCATCATAGCCCAAGGTACCAGAAAGGGACACTGACTGTGTACAACAGCAGTCATGTTAAGGGCAAAGTTAGTTTTTGTTTTTTATTTTGCCTCAGGAGTATACTGCAACTTTTCATTTTCTTTGTTCATATTATTACTTTGCTTTGTAAACTCTTGCAGGATGATCCTTCCTTTATTTGTCCACCAGAGTCTGATATAGAATGTCAGCCTTAAAGCTGGTGGGGATTCAAAGTTTTGCTGGCAGACGCTTGGGGAAATGTACATTGTTGACTTGGAGCAGTCCTCCAGCTGAAGGATGGTCGGCCTGTGACTTGCTGTGGCCTGCTTCTGTTCCTCTATTACTATATGATATTTAGGGAGGGAGGTAGAAACCATGGAGGAACCATGAAAGCAGCTTTTGCACTTTAATAACAGGGTTTCAGATGAACTTTTTTACAGTGATCTTTTTCACTCATTTTAAATGTCACCTCCTTTGTCAGTTCCTCCAAACGCTGCTCATTTCTCAACACATCATACAAATGATTGTAAACAGGAAAAACTGTGCCGAGAAATGTTCTGTACAATTTTAACGTATTCTTTTTAAGTACAGTCGTGACTCGATAATCTGACGCTAAATGTAAAACCTTCTTTTATGTTGGATAGCAAGGCTGTCGGAAGGAAGTATTTGAAGTTAGAGTGTGGAATAATAAATAAATGTATGTTGCATCCAAGCCTTTGCCAAACCAGTTCACACTGTGCTGATTAGGCCTATCAAGTGCTGCATAAATCAAACAGTTGCAGTGTGTTTCTGGCCCACCAGTAGTGGTACGTTGAAATCAGAAACAACTGTAGAGACAGGAACATGGTAGACTACAGCAGCGAGGAGTTTGGTGGAAACTGAGGTTCTAAAACCAAGGAATCATATAAGAAGAGTTTCTGATGCATTCAGTGGAAAGATTACAGCCATCACTATCCAGACGGATGACATAATTTATCAATGTGTTGGTGTAGTTCTGCTCTCTCCCAGATGGGGAGACATTTTTCTGAAAGTTTTAGGAAGCTTCTGGTGGGCTCTTTAGGTGGTATTAAGGTACACAATGCAGGAGGAACAAGACAAAGCATGACGGATACTTAGATTTGTTCCTTGATGGACCTATCCAAATTTGTCATGTCAATAAAACTGGCATGTTGACAGAAATTGCCAATTATCTGTAATCCTAGCAGATTTAACTTCAACCTTTTGCTTTGCTGAGATGCTATAGCTTTCATGGCAGCCTGAGACCCTCCACGTGATTATTGTGAGAGTATGTAATAGAAATCATTACCTATGAAAAGACAAGACAGTGCTTCTGGCTCCACTGGACAGACAGGTTGCTCTGTCATTTAGTTGAATCAGAATTTAGCTCAGACAAAAAACAAATGGTCCTGGAGATTCAGACATGGTTCGTTGTAATCTTAACTTTAAGACAGCTCACCTCCTGTTCATAACTGACATTTCAGGTTATGTCTGTTTATGAATTGCAAAACTTAGGCTGAGTTTAATGTCGTGTTGTGGTCTACTGTTCTGCTGCAAGGCAGAATGAGGCCGAACAGCACCAGGCCCTGATGTTCTCTTCTGAGGCCAGGGGTATTAAAATCTAATTTTAACTTTGGGACTGGATGAGAACCACTGCAAGCTCTGCCTCCTCTGGCCTTATTGAGGAAATACCAGGGAGATCTCCTGTGGACCAGTCAGAGATAACACCCACCACCACTCAGGATAGTCAAAGCAGTCAGGCCTTTCTTTCTGGACTACCGGTTCTGTCTTACAACAAACTTAACTCAACAGTAGTGTGTAGCAGCAGCAGCAGCAGCTTGTGAGTCAATCTCTTTGACGTTTCTGTTTCACACTATGTACCTTCTAACTCCATTGCTGAAACTTTCAGTTTGAAGTGACTGCATTGTAGTCTTTCAGACATAGGTCAGTTTTCCGTTAATGTTCCTCACGGCTGCATTTAGATGTACCACTCACAGTACTGGAGAGCACCACGGTAGGCACGCTGTGTTTGTCATTCATGCAAGACTAGTCAATACATTAAATGATGTACAAAACATAGTAATGCAGTAACAGATAAATTAAAACTAAAGCAAAAGCATCCGATCAAAGTGTCCAGATAACAACAGCTTGTGCTGTGTTTAAATGCAGTCATGACTCGATAATCTGATACCAAATATGAAACCTTCTTTTATGTCGGATAGCAAGGCTGTCGGATTGTCAAGACGGAGGTCGAGATACAAGGACGGCTTGATGCTTGAAGGCTCATTTGTTGTTAATGTTTGTTGTCTATAGTTGTTATAATAACTAGTGTACTGTTAGAACACTACACATTGCTGGATTTCACAACTAATGAACCGGTGCGATTGTGCAATTCCACTCCGTCAGAACACACAGGCAGTACTTGCCTGCTGATGCCAGTTAAGTTAGCGGTCACACTTCTGTTTGCACCATTGGCAGTGGCAGCGGCGGTGGGGAAGTGGCAGATACACTCCACTGTTACCATCCGTGTTTACTTCTGCAAACACTGAGCACGCTCCCTGCGTGACATCGTTGTGTCCTCTTCTGTGCATGCGGGACACTTTTGGGTCGTATGAAGTTCACACAGCAGATCACATACAAGTTGCATTTAATTGGAAATGTGAACGAACTCGCAAAAAATCGGATTTCACAAAAAAATCCAAATTGAGCATCAAGTCCTGCAGTGTGAACGTAGCCAATCTGTGGGATAGTTCAGTCAGATAATACGCCGTTATCCTTATTAGTGACATAAAATGTCATGTCGGAGTCGGAATCTGAGGCTGTCGGTATGTTGAGGCTATTTTCAATGGGTTAAGGGTCGGATTATCGAGTCACGACTGTAATATGGAATTGTTAGAGGGTCCGACCTAAAAACATGCCTCCATGACGTTTTACAAATACATGACTGAGCTGTGCATTCAGGCTTCAGTGCTTTACAGTCACGGTGTTGAATGATACTGAAACTTGTGGTACAGTTGTGCCGCATGCTGTGAAAGTGAAAGATGTTCTTCTTTCCTCATTTATAAGGCAACCTTAACAGCTACCATTCAAAAGTGCAATTCTTGCCAGTCAGGCCTGAGTCTCTTGTTGACATACATAGCAGATAATAAAGCTAACCTGAGGCCATAAAGGAAGTGACTCCTCTCAGCCCTGCCTCTGCTTTGGCTCTCTCTTCCCTGCCTAATCTTACCTGTTACTACATTATACCTTTTACTGTAGTGCAGCCATTCACTACAGGTACTAGATCTGTTCGGTATATTAACTCTTGAATGTATTTCCATATATTTTCAAACACAGGATTTTTATTTGTTTATTTGGGCAGGTTTCTTTCACACATGTAACCAGTTCAGATGGTTTGTTTTTGAAGCAGAATGGGCTTACATGTGTGCCTCTTGTTCCCATAACCAATCTGTGGGAGCCGCATTCTCGCTGGTAGGAAGAGGATCAAATACTTATTTGTCTTAATCATTGGAAAATAATTTATAACTGTTAGATAATGTTTTTCTGGATTTTTTGGTTGATATTCCATCTCTTACCGTTAAAATAAACTTACTGTTAAAATTATTTTGTATGTGGCCAAAATCATTTCCCTCACTGTAGATGAAAGTTTACCTTTCTGAGGAAAATTCTAAGAAAAAAAGACAGTGTGAGTTAACAATGTCCGTTTTCATGGCGAAGCTAAGACGGTGAGACTCACACAGCTGTCACGTTAATAGATAACAGCTCCACATCCGACTGAAATCCTTTGTTCAGTTAAAAAATATAGATGCTGGGGTAAAATTCAAGTGGAAAGGTTATTTAAAAACATTACAGTAAAACATTAACAACTAGCCGCAACTAGGCCGCGAGAGACAGAAAAGTATCGATACCATGGGAGGTTAATATCGCTGCTCGATACCAGGTTTAGTGTTGAGGTATCGATATTTTTGACAACCCTACTTTAGAGCCACTTTGCCACAGCCAAGGGCAAGAGCTATAAAACATGTAAATCTTCACCACTTTTGGCAAATACTTGCAAGTAATAATAATAATAGTAAGAAGACGAAATAAAAATGAAATACCAACAGTATCATCCTTGTCAGACGTTGTGTCAGCACTAAAACAGGAGGCTGGCTTTGTCACCTAAACTGAGTTCACAGCTCTGTCAGATATGTTTAGATGTGTCTTTCCTCTCCCAGCCTCCAAAGTTAGTCGTGTAGTATTCCAGTTCACCCACAAATGTTAGATCTGATTGAAAGTTGCTTTTCCTCAGATCAGAATTCACCGTCTTTTATTAAATGTGTTCATTTCAAAATGAGTTATTTTGCTAACTATTAGATAAACGCCGGCTAAAACACACCCTCCTTGGCAGACGTAATAATAATAATGATGAATAAGTCTGAGTGTGAGCGGGCCAGGCTGAGAAGAAAGACGTGTTTTTTCTGTCTACATGTTCCACATAGCTTTTTTTTGGTCAAGTTAAAACTTGCAGGGAGCTGATCACAGAACGAAAAGTGGTTGAATCCTTGAGGGCAAGATTCCAGGTGTAAACTGAGTAGAGCCCACCTCCACAGAGTCAGTTCATACACACCAAACTGTATATGAATGAATCTTTGTTCAGAGGACAAAGCTAACAGAAGCACCGATGGATATGCTGACATTTGTTTAGTATTTATCGGTCTCGAAATAGTTTAGAAATACAGTGAACATCGTGTATTTGGCGTATGAACTGACAGCTGTGCAGTCTGTAGTCCTCGTGTGCTCTCAACCATAACCATGTCGGGGGAGTGTTTAAAGAAAGTGCAAATATAGACAGAGGGCAGGTTGTGACAAAAATGAAAATAAAAACAGAACTAATTAAAAAGGTGGGGAGCAGACACAGAACAGTGGGAGAGTTCAGGGAACATGCAAGGGCCAAAACACAATAACTAATCCAGAAATAACAGAATTCAAGAAAGTGAAACAGGAACATGAGGATAGCAAACAGGGCACAAAAAACTAAATGTTTAAACCAGAAGCAGAAAAAAAAAACAAATCACGAGGCGACACAGATGTATGAACGGCAGGCAGGCAAACAGGAGGCTGAACAAAACCAAGTGAACAAAGATAGAAGGATGCAGGATAGAGAGAGAACTAAGTGGGGAGGCAAGACACAGGTGAGTCACAAGACGCAGGAGGAGAAGCAGCAGAACAACAAGAGACTGAAAAATAAACTCAAAATCAACAGAAAGCACCCAAGATCATGACGAGAGTTAACCAATCAAATCAAAGACAAACAGTGACTCCATTGAAACTCTCAGAATTCAAAGCTTTCTATCACCTGTCTGGCAGATAGAGGGGAGAAAAGGGTCAGTGATCACTTTTTTTACAGAGAGCGTTTGCAGTTAAAACACTTTGTTAACCAGACGTGTCTTTTTTTGAATGGAGATAGTTTGTGTGTGTTTTAGTCAGAGAGTTTGCAGACATGACGGGCACACAGTCTGGAGGGACAGCAGGATTTTCCAGTATCAAGTCAACAGTGTGCTTACTACAAGATTCAGAATGTGGCTCAGTTGCATTCAGCTGCTGGCTATTTACCAGTACACAGTGATATGTTGCAGTTCCAACTATGCAAGCTTACTTAAGGTTGATGTCTGTCTGAAATAGACCTTCCAGATTGCTTCTTATTCTGATACTGTCCCGCCACACAAGCACCTGATGTGTCTACCTGGGCACGTGGTGCAGATAACACAGCTGGAAAGGAAGTGACTTCCATGCTGGTGTTGTTACAGACAGATCTGTGTGTGAATGCCTTCGTTTACACATTCTGTCTCTGCTGCTCATGTTGTTGAAGGTCAGTGCCGAAGATACGCTTTATACACTTGGTGAGTTTTGGTTACTTTTATGTTGTAGGAAGGTTAGAATGTGGATCACCTGCTCTGTGTCAATCACATGGATGTCTGTTTAAACCAACAAGAAAAGACAATGAGGAGGAAATGGATAAAGGACAGATGATGAAGTGAAATCATGATGTTTTGCAGTTGTTAAAGCACAAGAGAGCTCTGCAAGCCTGTTGGTCAGGTGTAGTTACTGTCTTATTTGTACTTGACTGTTCCCTGTAAGGGCTGCAAAATGGAGCGGTGGTTAGCATCGTTGCCTGACATCTAGAAGGCCGCCAGTTTGGTCCCGGTGAGGACACCTGGGATCTTTCTGCTAGAGTTTGCAGCGTGGGTTCTCCGGGTTCTCTCCGAGTTATCTCAGGCTTCCATGTTAAGGTTAATTGGTGATTCTAGATTGTCTGTGGATTCAAGGATTCAAGGCCTTTATTGGTCACAAACACAGTTATACATGGCATAACGTGCAGTGAAATGCTTTGCATACCTGTGGGTGTGAATGTGAGAGTGCTTGGTTGTCTGTCTCTGGGTGTGGCCCTGCGATGGACTGGCAACCTGTCCAGGGTGTCTCCTGCCTTCACCCTGAGTCAGCTGGGATAGACTCCAGCCCCCCACGACCCTAGTGAGGATTGAGTGGTGTATAGATAGTGGATGGATGTTCCATGTAAAAACCAGTAAGCCAAAACGAATGCCTGTCAAACTGCTTTTCAAATGGTTTCAGAGAAAGTTATTAATTTGCCCTCCATCTCCTGTTGGCATTGTACATTGCACACAGCCCAGCTCTGGATTCTCTGGTATTGTTTCATCCTCAACCCACAACAGACACACATGAACCGGTGTTGCTACATTCCTGAGTGTAATTCTAGTCACCGTGTCACATACGTCTCACATGTCACATGGGTAAATACCTTTGTTCAGCCTTTGTTTCATGCCAGACCTGCAACTGTAA